AATGAAACATGATGAAAAAGAGAAAAAAACAGGGAAACATGATGAACAGATAGAAAAAAACAAGAAAAATAATGAAAAATGGAGGAAAACAATGAACAATGATGAAAAAGAGAGGGAAAAACAATGAAAAATGATGAAAAAGAGAGAAACAACACAATGAACAATGATGAAAAATAGAGAAACACCAATGAAAAATGATGAAAAAGAGAGGAAAAAACAATGAACAATGATGAAAAAGATAGGACAACACAATGCAAAATGATGAAAAGTAGGGAACAAAAAAGGAAACATGACGCAACATAGAGGAAAAAACAATGAAAAATGATGAACAAGAGAGAAAAAAAACAAGAAACAATGATGAAAAAGAGTGAAAAACAACAATGAAACATGATGAAAAAGAGACAAAACAACAAGGACGCATGATGAAAAATAGAGAAACAACAATGACAAATGATGAAAAAGAGAAAAAACAACAATGAAAAATGATCAAACATATGGAAAAAAACAATGAAAATGATGTAAAATAGAGACAAAACAATGAAAACTGCTGAAAAATAGAGGAAAAAACCAATGAAACATGATGAACAAGAGAGAAACAACACAATGAAAAATGATGAAAAATAGAGAAACACAAATGAACAATTATGAAAAAGAGAGAAAAAACAATGAAACATGATGAAAAAGAGAGAAAAATACAATGAACAATGATGAAAAATACTGGGAAAAAATAAGGAAACATGATGAAACATAGAGGAAAAGGCAATGAAACATGATGAACAAAAGAGAAAAAAAAACAAGAAAAAATGATGAAAAAGAGTGAAAAAAAAATGAAACATGATGAAAAAGAGAGGAAAAAAAACAAGGAAGCATGATGAAAAATAGAGTAACAACAATGAAAAATGATGAAACATAGAAAAAAACAATGAAAAATAGAGGAAAAACAATGAAAACTAGTTAAACATAGAGAAGCAAGAATGAACAATGAGGAAAAAAGAGAGAAAAAACAATGAGAAATGATGAAAAATAGAGAAAAAAACAATGAAACATGATGAAAAACATTGCTGCTTCTTTATTTTTCATCATTTTTCATTGTTTTTTCCTTCATTTTTCATCATGTTTCATTGTTGTGTCCCTATTTTTCATCATTGTTCATTGTTTTTTTTTCCATATGTTTCATTATTTTTCGTTGTTTGCTGTCTATTTTTCATCATTTTTCATTGTTTTTTCTCTCTTATTCATCATGTTTCATTGTTTTTTCCAATGTTTTCATCATTTTTCATTGTTGTTTTCTCTCTTTTTCATCATTTTTCATTGTTTTTGTTTTCTCTTTTTCATTATTTTTCATTGTTTTTCATTGCTTTTCAATTGTCTAATGTTATTCTTTGAGCTTTGATAAGGCTCAAAAATACGAAAACGGACAAGATAGAATATTTTCGAGACCCTGGCGTGACATGGCTCCAAATTATATATTTGGAAGCATTCCATTGCGTGGAAAGGTTTGTGTGTTGATTTCCAAGATATGTGTATATATATATAATATAGAGAGATATAGATAATTATATAACCGTGGCAGGAGGGAGTCCACTTGGCATGTTGGCTTAGCTGATTTGTAAAAAGAGGTTTTCGCAGCTTTACTGGGATTTACTGGGATTTCCCCCCAATTCCATAATTATCTATACCGACCGGCGAAAAGATCAAATATTCTATCTTTTGATTATTTTAATTTCAGAATATTCTATCTTGTGGGTGCTAGACCCTGTGTTTTTTGTTATTCTATCTTGTCCCGACTAAGAGTACAATATTCTATCTTTCGGCCGGTCGGTATATATATTTATTTAGATAGATAGGCAGATAGATAAGCAGATAGATAGATAGATAGATAGATAGATTAGATTAGATGAGATTAGATTAGATTAGCTTCGATTAGATTAGATAGATAGATTCGATAGATAGATAGACAAGAACAGATAAGAAAAGATCAGATCAGATAAGATAAGAATAGATAGATAGATAGATAGATAGATAAATAGATGAGGATAGATGAGGATAGATGAGGATAGATGAGGATAGATGAGGATAGATGTGGATAGATAAGGATAGATATAGATAGATTAGATTAGATTAGTTTAGGTTAGATTAGATAGATAGATAGATATAGATATAGATATCGATAGATACAGATAGATATAGAGAGATATAGATAATTAGATAGATAAATAAATAGAGATAGATAGAGATAGATAGATCGATAGATAGATAGATAGAGATAGATTAGATTAGATTAGATTAGACTAGATAGATAGATTAGGTAGATTAGATAGATAGATAGATAGATAGATCGATAGATAGATAGATCGATAGATCGATAGATCGATAGATCGATCGATCGATCGATAGATAGATAGATAGATAGATAGATAGATATTAATATATATATATATATATGTTATTTTTGGTTTACACCTTTCCTTTGAAATTATATCCGGATTACACTCATGCACTCAGACTTTTTGGGTCTTTCTGTATTTATCCCACTGAAAGTTGTTGTTTTGGAAGGGGATCCAGCAACCACCAGTCATTCCAATCTTGGCTATTGTTTGAACCATTTGGCATTTACACGTTTTCCATGTTTTTGAAGGTGGTTGATATTTTCATAGCCATTATATAAAAGATCGGGGTTGCTATTGGAACTCAATGTTGGAGTTGGGTTGCCACTGGATCTAGATCACTGAGGCGAAGCCTTGTTGAGGTTGCATGGAGTTAACAATTCACAATGTCAAGGCAGTTGCCAAACCTATCGTATTTTATTGGATGACAAAGACGTCGCAATTACCATGTTCTATCGATTTTCTGATTTTGAATGCCTACAGATTTGGTACTTTCATATTGTTGATAAGGTTGCATCCTGTTTCACGCTGCCACCACAGTAGTGACCTAGAGAGACGTGTAACTTCAGTAGGATTCACAACTTGGATTTTTCATGATTTTTCTGAAGGCCTGTCACCAATCAATTCCAGCAGTATACGAGCGCCAGGGGAAAGTGGTGGAGGACTAGGGGCTGGGACGCTGGGACTCTGGGACTAGGATTTTTCCCCACATTCCTGCTGGCACTTGGCGATTCATCCAGCGATGTGAGAAGGGCTGATAAATATTTTCTATAATATATGGGATAATCCTAAACTTACTAAAACTGGTTGGTGGTTTCAAACATGTTTTGTTTTCTATTTCATATATGAGATGTCATCCTTCCCATTCACAAATTCATATTTTTCAGAGGGGTTGGTATACCACCAGCCAGAAAACCATCTCAAACCCAAGAAGCGCCTTATCAGGGCTTAACCATCCATGATTCAGTTGGTCACCTTTGGGGGTGACTGCTTCAGCCAGACGCTCACGTCAGGAGCGGGCTCTGAGTGTCAGGCACTTGGCACTACTGGCAGCAGCAGTTGTACTTAGAGGATCATTCCACTTATGTGTTTTCTTAGCTACCAGTTTTGTTCACTGCGATTATATGAATATGTATGTATATATATACATTATCATATTAATATGGAAACCAAGTGGGATAACATAACATAATTGATTGTTTAGTACTTTACATAATATTGTGCCAAACATGTGAATATATGGGACCATACCTAGCAGCGAATTGTTTGGAAAACGTGTTTACAATTTGCTATGTATAGCCCAATTGCCAATGAAATATCAACAGTGAACCGATATTATCACGGTCACTATCCAGCAACCAAACGGCAGGATGTTCCAAGGAAAGCCAGGGTTATGCAGGGGTCATGCGGGCTGATCTGATCTATTTTGAGCCTGAAAAAGATCTGATTTGGCCAAACAGCTCTGCAGCTTGCCAAGCCTCCCCAAAGTTGGATTGTAACAACCCCTGGTTGATGACTTAAGGGGTGCCCCCCAAACAAGTGACAATATGGTACTAAAATGGTGGCCCTCCCCAATCAGCAGCCCAGGGGTGAATCAAGATTCCAACATTTACCCATACTTAGATGAGCCGTGGAGTTGTTTATATAACTAGTATTCAATGGATTGGAATTGGAATTGGAATGTACCCTCTGGTAAACTAACGGTTTGCTATTGAAAATGGCCATAGAAATAGTGAGTTTTCCCATTAAAAATGGTGATTTTAACCATAGCTATGTTAGTTTACCAGAGGGTAGTGGTTTATAACCCAGTTACGAAAATCATTCGCGTTTTTCCCATGGCGAAACTTCGTGCAGTAGCCATCAGTAGCCATGGCAACTTCAGGACGTTCCGAACACCGAGGTGAAAATCGTCGACCGCCGGGATGCGAAAGGCGAAGGTGGGGATTGGGGGGAACTCGGGCACCTCTGTTTGATAATGTATATTAATAGTGGTTAATAGTGGTTAATAGTGGTTAATAGTGGTTAGTAATGGTTGATAATGATAATCAATGATTCATGTACTGGTTGGTGGTTTGGAACATGGCTTTTATGACTTTCCATATATTGGGAAATAATCATCCCAACTGTCCCAACTGACTTTCATATTTTTTGAGATGGGTTGAAACCACCAACCAGAAAACCATTCAACAAAATGCATGTGACCCATAACCCGCTGGTAAGCTGACAAACTACATCCCCCTGATTCAAGTCTTTGGTAGGGAAAGTGTGAAAAAGAGACCCAGTTTATGTAATTGGTGGAACGGGGTTGCATTAGAAGCTGATGAGATTCGGATGATCCAAATGTCAGCTGGCCTTGGAATGATATTCTCAAGAAACCCGGAGAAAGATAACGATTGCAATGCTATAAAACCTGAAAGTCAAAAGGGATCAATTTTAAGCTTTTGCAACTTGCAACTTTATTTTTCGATTACCTGTTCAATGTATGCTACCCATTGCTACCCCAAAATCTGGCAATTGATATTGATATAGGTTAATCATCATTCTTATCAAAATGGTAATTTCCCTACCTGTTCAGCAAGCCATGTCAAGAAATGACCAAGGTGAGTCTTCCGCATGACGCATCCGACCAATCTGTGGTTCTGCCTGACACCAGGTGGTAAAAGCAAAGGGAAAGGCAAGCAGAAGGCGTGTTCAGCAGCGAAAGATAGAGAAATGATGGTTAGAGTAGGTTTATTATGGTTTATTACAGTATATTGTTATTAGTATATTGTCATATATTTTTAAGTCATTGTCATATATATATATATTGTTATTTATTCAGATTTTTCGACCCTCAACTTGCTCATTACAGAATGGGATTTTCATCGAGCAGTTTAGGGTCTATCGGTCTGGCCGCCGCTGGCCGCCAACATGTTGCCGCTCCGCTGGTCGTAACAGTCGGGCTCG